CTATTTTACAGGGAGCCTGACCAGAGCAGTAATACTGTCACAATGCCTGTCAGGTGTCAAACTATGAACCAGGCTTACGGTGGAAATAAGACTAAATCTAGCATAATGCAGTGGTGTGGTGTTCATACAGTTTATAATTTATAATCAAAGACAAGAGAGAAGACTAAATTGTTCTTCTTATTCTTATTCTTTAAGATAAATGTGTTTTCAACATTAAAAACAGCCTCCTTAAAGTCAGAAATCAGGAGAAGAAAGTGCCATTTCCCAATTCGTAACATAAAAAAGGTATACTGCCAAAGTCAATTAGTTTTTTGTTATCTTCTTTTAGCTTTAATAAGCTTTCTTTTACGGAAGACTTACTGACTGACAACGATGCGCTTCAGTGACATGTCTTGATTGAGATGTGTTAACAGGCAGTTAGAGGAACATTAAAAATTAATTACAATTTTGCAACAACTTTTAAGGCTGAAGTATTAACCAAGTCATATGACAATTTGTGGATTTGCTGAAGGTGTGCACATTACATTTTATACACTTTCTTTTCCCCTTCTGTTGCTACAGAAAACATGTTATATTCTCTCTGCTATGCATGTGCTTGTTAAGTGAAACCATTTACAGACACCCAGAAAAATAACTGAAACACACTTATTATTACATGAACAGTAATGTTTGGGAACTGGAATAGTCTTCCAACACAATACTGTGTAAGTATCTCCAGAAACTTTAATTCAACTTAAAAACCTGCCTCTAAATATGTTTACAGTGGTGTATAACCTGCACCTTTCAGACAAAGGCATCAGTTTATACTTGGAAGAAGACAGTCTCCACTCGTTCCCCATTTCTAAACTGTCACTATGCCATGGTGGGGATCCTTCTTTGATACTTCTGTAGCTCCTACCAGGCCACATTAATGTATTCTTATCTGAACACATTTACAACTGCACCACAAGCTATCAGTTAGTTTACTGACATCCGTTCTACGGTAAGTTGAGTTGAGTTTATACATTAACTTGTATACTAGGCTTCCAATTCTGGTTTTTACAACAAGATAATCAGACGCAAAATTGTTTAAATTCCCCACAAGGGGGGACTGTTTGGTCAGATGTGTTCTACTTATGGCAGCCTGCACCACCTACAGGATAGAAAGGTAATAGCAGGAGGTCAGACCTTCAGATGTAGACATGTCTTTCACAGTCAAACAAATCCTGGCTGGTTACCGCTGCTTTGAATCTATCTATCTATTTCATCTTCCCAAGTGTATACAGACCTTCTTCCTCACTTTTTACTCTCAGGAACAAGTGGATTAGGTATATACCAAATCACCTATGATCCATTGTTCATTTACATACACTTGAAATCTCTCTTGAGACAGAGACTGTAGTTTAAACACTGTTTATGTGTTGTAATGGCTTCACATCTATTGACTCATTTGCTACAAATAAATCATGGAAATATTGTACAACGTCTTGACAGATTGTTTTGGTTTAGATGGATATATAGCCCAATGGTGGAAAACACCTTCATTTTTTCCTCCAACTCGATCAATAAGTTATTTCAGGTTTGCTACAAGTCACTTCTGATGCAGATTCTGCACACATGCATTGAGTTTCGCATTCAATAAGAGACACAAAGAATAGTTGAATCAATGCAAGAGAGAGAGAGAGAGAGATCCTGACTTTTAGTCACTAGTATGGATCAAGCCTTAGAAATCCTAGTTTCCATCACTCAATGTTATAAATTTGTAGTCTCCCTGCTCAAGTCAAAACAGATGACATCACCAGGTTAAACGGGCCCTTAAAGGTTAAAGCGATTTAGTATTGTGCTTCCAGGAAGTTGGAGGACTCACAAGACAGTTACAAAGACAAAATTCAAAATCCATGAGACAGAGATATTCAGATTTTAGGCAGAAATATTCAGATTCCTTTGCCAGCCTACATTTCCTGTAATGAAACCAATTGTATGCATGAGCTTGAAAGTTCACTCCTGGACATAGTAGTATGACAAATCTCAACTGAAGGTCCCTTTGCATCTCATCAACAGATAGAGTTTGAAGACTATGAGGGGTAAATTAAATAACCTTCTCTTTTTTTACTTTCCAAACACCAACATTCTTCCTCTTTACTCAACAATCAGCCAAGTGTGAGGCAGCGTGGTGAAAAATTGTAGACTGATCTATAATCTGTAAACAGTAGACAGTAAAAGTGAGTCAAGCACAACAAATGGTTTTGAGTCCAAAAATGTGATTGTCCCATGGTTTCTACCATTATCCCCACACATCCAATCCCTCTTTGACAGGAGGCTTTTTTGCCTTGTCTTTCATTGTGGCCATTTGGAATGAACATTTTTGCCTTTAAACATGGTTTAGACAACACTTATACACACAGTGCAAGCTAGTTTCTCATTGATCAAGCTCCTCCAGAGCCCCAGAAGACAAAATAAGACAAGCTGAATAATATCCATGACTTGTAAATTAACCTTCATGAGGAAAGGTCTCCCAAAATGATATAAAGGATTCATCATACAAAATCAATATATAAATAAACACATACATATTATAACTATCATTGTAAATCAGCAGACCAGCTGTCAGATCACCCCGATTAAGTGGGTGTTATCACTTGTTATTTGCACTCTAGGCAAGGGTCAGTAGGCCCCTACTGCACCTCCTAGTTGACTCAGTAGGCCGTTTTTTATAACTATGGCAATGGTAATTTGAGGCTGCATAATTTGCTTTGAAGAAATGCATGAGATTTTCAAAAGGCCTTGGAAACCTGGTTGGATGGTTCCTGGAAAAACACAGACTCCAAAGTCAAAAGGATCTTGCTGAAATGCTTTGAGTGGGGAAACTGTGGGCTGGTCCTCCTTGAGGCTAAAAATCAAGCAGAAAAATGTCGGCACATGTGCTTTATAAAAAACAATACTGCTTTTTCATTATTGTTATTTTATTCATTAATAAAAACATTTAAGGGTCTTCATCACTGCGTCTCTTGCTGCTTGAGTGATGACTTACTGAATGTAAGAAAACAATGAGTGAAATGAATACTGATGAGAAAATCATCCTTTATAAATTCATGATGTACAGTTTATCACTCAGAAGAAATACATGCATTCATATTATCAGTGGTGGAGTATTGAATGAAGTATTCAGATCCTTTAATTAGGGATCTAGTGTATAACATTTAGGAGGATGTGTTGGCAGAAATAATTTATTTTCATTCGTGTATAATCACCTGAAAATAAAAATTGTTGTGTTTTTGTAAAAGTCCTGAATTCAAACCTTACTTAAGGAGAAGTATGCAAGTATTATTAGCAGTGTTAAAGGTAAATTAAGTTTTTTGCCTGACAATGTTTTATTATTATATATGATGTTTTTGGATTAATATTACTGTTGCATTAATTCTCACTGCTGTAGATGTTTAAGGTTTAAATAATTTTAAATAGATAATTTAGCAGAAGAAGTAGGATAATTTTTCTCAACTTATAAAGGAACTCTTTACTCACATTCACATTAAAAATCACCAAATTTGGATACACATGGCATTGACCGGACAGGAAGAATAGGAGGAATTGTAATCTGAAAGTAGAAAAATTACATAAAATAGAAATACTCACGAATGAGAACCTCAAATGTGTTGGCTTAACTGCAGTAGCCTGCATTCTACCGCTGTATGTTCTGCATTATATTAGAATAAAGCAGAGATTATAACACAGTTTATAAGAATCATCAAGAAGCGAGCAGGTGAAGAGCCCATGTGATGTGTCCACTGATTGAAGTGTAACCCCTTGGGTGTGTAACAACTGCCAGTCCACTTATCTGTGTTGATGAAGAGAATGATGGCGTCCTCACTCCTCCATTGGTCTCACTCAAGAACAGCTGTTTGGCCGGTCAAGCCTGTGGAAAATGGAAAATTGTTCATACATATTTTATCATTCGACTGCAGCCTTTCAACAGGTCACTTATTTCATAGTGTTTAACATTACAGTGAGCAGCAACTGACAGGCTGGCCTTTGGCAGTATTTCAGGGCAGTTTCTTCAAAAAGGAAAAATAAACTTCAACCTGACTTGAAGGACAGCGGTGGAAAATAATTGGAACTGATATTAAAAAACAGCAGAAGCGGCACACTGAAAGAAGTGAAAATGTGATTCTGATTCATAAATAATGTGCCTCACTTGTGCTTTGACTGAAAAATAAAGAAAACCAAAGTTCATTCTTGACCTTGGAAATAGTAGACAAAACAGTCTCATCTCAAGGTCCATCCAGTAGCCGCTGGGAAGCTTCTGATCATATCACATGATCTTCGTTAGCGGATGGAGATTCCCCAGGTGTCATGGAAATGTAGATGTTCACATTTACATTTTTCTTCTCAGCATTTCTCATCCATGATGGTTTAAGAGTTGGAAAATCTGGGAAGGAAACTTAAAAGCTTCCATGATGGCATCTGAACTCCATCTGCTGAGAACATGTGCAGATCATGTGATATGATTCAAAGCCCCAGATTAACTAAAAGTCGCACTTTAAGGACAAGAATTAACTGGAGTTTCTTTATCTTTTTTTTTTTTTTTTTTTTTACAATTGGCTGACGATTTTCTGACTTGGATTGATCACAAATGAAGAATAATTTAGAGTTTACACCAGAAGTTAAATATTAACCTCAAATTGAATATACCTTTTACAGACCATTAACCCTCCGTGGTTGTAAATTGGGTCCACAGAGCACTTTGTGCATATCTCAAAGGTCAATTTCCAAGTCTTTTCAAAGCTAGAGGATGTCATTAAGAAGGCAGTGCAGCTACCACAAGAGTCCATTCATGCCTGTTTTAATTCATGTTTTAATAAAAACACATGAGCTGAAGAGTTAGCTAAAAACTCGTATACATTGCTAAATACATGCATTATCTTGCAGTATAAATATCCATTATATTTAACTAAACATGCCCCTGCTGTTTAAAAGAAGACATCTTCTCAAATTACAAACAGCTGTCACGCACACTTCCTGGTCTGGTCGTCCAATAGTGGTACAAGCAGAAGGTCACGTGTGGGTCTCCGCTGGTCTTTGACGTTCAGTGCGTCGGACCTGAGCAGAGGGTGAGTTTCTGGGCTTGTACTTGACTTTGCAACCAGTGAATGGTAAAAAATAAAAAATAAAATACAAATTCCACCATGCAGGTCGCCAGAGTTGATTTAACTGTACAGACCTACAACCTGATTTTTTAGTCGTGTAGACTTGTGTAGAAGCAGGTGACATACAACAATAGCAGCTCAGTGCAACTGTGGAAGACAACGTGTACACTATAACAGTCCCTATCAAAATATTAGTGCGAGCAGCAGCCATGTCATAAACGATCAAATATAGTTGGAAGCTGTCTTTTGCGACTTTCTTTAGCCTTTTATACATCCATAAATCCGCTATAAAATCATGGAGGGGAAATAGGCGCTCCTTATAACAGAACTTGCTTGAGAATCATCATGTGTTTAAGTTTTCTTGAGTGTTACTTGTTGATAGTTGTTTATACATCCATGGATAGGCTACAGTGCAAACAGGGACTGCTAATAGGCAATTCGGCATGCTTTTAATGGGGCCAGTTTGACAAAATAGGTGGTTTCCAATTGACCAGACTACCAGGTGTTAGATGTCCACTGTTTCAAACGTCCTCGACCTTGGTGAAGTTCAGCAGGTATAAACAGATTTAGAGTACTTCAGGATTTCAAAATAAAGCTTGCAAAGTCATTTCATGTCTTGTTATTGTTTGCTTTTGAATCACACCATGCTCTGAGGCTGACACTGCAGATAATGGCAGCTGTCAGTCATATAATCTGCACCATTAAAGCATCGGTCCTGACTGAAAGTTTGACTTGGCAGATAAATATTGCCCCAGCTGGCTGGTGTACAGTCATTTATTTACTCAAGAAAGCTATGTCAGAGATCATTTAACCTTGTACATGTCGGTATTAATAGGCCTTCACATGATTTAAAAGGACAAATATATAAAGGGCTTGTGCCAGACAGACTGCAGAGAGGAGAGCTCCCTGATTTGGTCTTTCTTGAGTGCCCTAATGAAAATGAACTCTGAAAACTTTATTTTGAAATTTTCAAGTAGTTTCCATTGTGATAATGCTGTAGCTTCACCAAGGCCAAGAACATTTGAGATGGTGCACCTCTGGTTCACCTGGTTCACTCAGTAGAAAGTGTGAGTTGTTGTTCACTGTAGGTGATTGTTTGAAGATGAGAAAATAGGAAAATAAAAGAAAAAGGCAGCACTCATATTTAGGCTTAGCTTGAATTAGTTTTGTACTGTTTTCTTGAAGGTCTAATTATTATGGCTAAATATTATATGTTATGAATATGTTGGTGACAAGCCGGTCCTTGAACATGTAAGATAAAATGATTTGTAAAACAGATTTCCTCATAAAGCCTAGTTCAATATGTCATTGTGAGTGATAAGTGTAATAAAATTGACATGCATATGTATAGCCTTAGTGACTATATGTGGAGTGTACTATTAAGGACAGAGTAATTATGGACAACTGCCCAATTAGTTCGGATGAATAAATTCTGATACTACATCATCTGTGTTGGGGCTTTCATAATGCTAAGTAAGGTATGGGTGGTCACATTTTGTCTCTGCTCAAAACCTCTTGAGAAATAGCCTGTCAATCATTACCTCTTAGCTTAACAGAGATTGCTCTGTGATTGATTGATTAATGCGATCTAGATTCAAACCTCAAGTGGGAAATCTAGTAAGGGCTCATAATTGGGAAGCACTGAGGGATCAAAACATGAGACTCTGTGTTTAGTGTTTTGGCATCGTTTTTAGTAGATTATTCTCTTGGTAAAGTTTGAGCTTCTGTTGTTGCCGTTGTTTTCCTCAACCGTGGTGGATCTGGCTGCTCGTACACATACTGTGCTATGTAATATGTAACTGGCCAGTTCTTCCAAACAAACGTTATGTAAATGTAAAAGCATTTCATGAACTGGGTATATGTTTATCATTTTTTACTGCAAACTCTCAGCTGAAATAATCCTTCATAAACACATTTGTAAATATCTAATGAATGCTCAGCAGGAGATTTGTTTGATTATTCTCAGCCTTTATCATTAAAATAAAGCTGTCATTGTTAAAAACTCTATTTTTGTTTGTCTGTTTTCATCACAGCAGGAGCAAAAGGTGCACTATGGGCCGCCTGGACGGGAAAGTGATTGTGCTGTCAGCTGCCGCGCAGGGGATTGGACGGGCTGCAGCAATAGTAATGAGCTTTAATATGAATTTGTCACTGATGTTCCAACCATATCACAGAAGAAGGTTGTTTATTTAATGTCCTGTGGTGTGCAGACCCGAAAGCGGTGTGTTTAGACATAAATATATATTTCAACCAGTTCTTATGTAACGCACACAGATTTTAATGTCGCCAAAATCCCATAATATCTTCTGCAACATCAACAACAATATTGTTGATCCAAAACACGTTTTCTTCCAAATGATTGTGCTACAGAAACATGCACTGTGTCCATATATTTACTGTAGTTTCCTGCTCAAGTTCTGGTTTTACCTCCATCCTTATTACAAATAAGACAAAATATTCAAGCTATTTTTATGGAAAAAAATCATCAGTGTATTGTTGAAATAACCATTTTCACTTTGCATGAAGATTCTAGACGTTCTGTGTTTATGTCGACAATATTCTGACAGTCCACATGCATGTGCTGTAGATAAGGTTGCTGTAATGGGGATTCTTGAGATGATGCAAACACAGCTTCAGGACATTCCTCGGGCACAATCATCTGGTGGTATTCTTTTTCCAACGAGGAAACAAAACACTTGACATCTCACATGCATCCTTGTAAAGAATGGGTCATCATCACATCCATTCCCTTCTAGTGATGTCTTATATTACAGGGGTTTGTGTGTGGCGAATTGTGGAGGAATTCTAATACAGAGCGACCTATTTATGTCTCAGATCATTGGGTTCAAATTACATGGCATTAAAAGTGGCATATGGTGTGATAGGTCTGTTGAGCATTTTCCATTTCGTCTGTATTTTGCGGATGTGGTCTGCTCTGAGGTTAATGATGCAGTCACTCAGTTATCACCTCACTGGAGGTGGAAGGGATTTCATGTGAGGGGTTTAGGCTTAGGAATTGACATTCTATGTCTATAGGTATGTGGCGATGACATACTGGTGTCAGCACTGTGACATTGAAATTATTCCCAGCCTTTAGTTTATTTCATGACATGTGTAGACATTGTGGAACCTCTTGGATCTGAATCAGGTTTTTTGTTTTTCAACTGTAGGCGTTTGCAAAGGAGGGAGCTCAAGTCACAGCAACAGACATCAATGGAGAGAAGCTGAAAGAGCTGGATGGAATTCAAGGTAAGATTTCTCTTTGTGTGAGGCTGCCATCTGCTGGGTAACCAGTGAAATGCAGCCAGGATGAGACACGTTTTTCCCTTTGTGTATGTACTAACCTCTGGTAGCTTTTAATGAGAGAAATTTGATAAAATTAGTTTATCCTAACAATGCACTGCCAAATTATTTTCATAGTCAGTTAATTGCATATTATTTTCTTTATTAATTGATTAATACAATGATCAATACCCATCATAGTTTCCCTGATCCTAAGAACCTACAGTCTTTTTTCCGACCAACATTCTAAAACCCAAACATATTCAGTTTGCTATTATACATGACACTAACTTGATCAATGAATAGGTTATCAAAATAGCACATTTCCATTATATTTACACATTAAATTTTTTTTGATCAAGATACATTTTTGCAAGATTTTTGTTTAGCAGAAATAACACTGTACCTAAAGATAATATATAACAGTGGTTCGCAAAGCTGGGGTTTGGGACCCCCATTAGGGGTCGGCAAAGCTTCACAGGGGGTCACGAGGCCTTCTTGATTTTAGGGGGTGTAAGAAAACGTATACACAATGGCCCTATATTGCAGCATTTTGTACATTTCTGTAAAGAAAACTAAATGAAATTGTTATTTTTATAGTTTAGATTATTATTTAGATAGAATTCGTCCTTCATTAGAAAGTGTGCAGTTAAAGCAACTAAGCAGCCAATAGAGGTTTGGAACCACTGATATAGGACATATTTTGAATGCAAAGGCTATAAAGTGTTGCTTTTCCTATTTTAGTTACACTATACAAGTAAATTAGGGCTTAGTAACCTACTCAGGCTTATTGCCCCTGTTGTAGCTGACAAGCAATGGTCTTCTCCTCTAACTGCCTTATGTAGAGCTGTTGAGTGTCCAGCAGAATTGTGCATGTAAAGCCGGGTGTTTTCATCCTCATCTTAAACTACCATCTCCTGCAATAAAATGTTAAATCATATTCTGTTTTCCAAGTCTGTCATTAAAGTAATTGGGTCTTTTGCTCCACAATCAAAGCTCTGTTTTTCTTTTCACCAACAGGGATCAAGACCAAGGTCGTGGATGTAACTAAGAAGGACCAAGTCGAAGCCCTGGCCAAGGAACATGAGCATGTAGATGTGCTGTTCAATGTTGCTGGGTTAGTTTTTTTTTGCTCTTTTCAGTAGCGTTTCAATTATTTTACTAAGAGGAAAATCTCACGAATGAATGAGCCACAGTTTCATTGGGTGACATGTCTCTTCATTATAATGGACACTGTAGTTTTTGAGTTAATCCCACATATAGCATTGTGATGCTATGAATATTCATCACCATGACATATTTAAGTTGCCAGTCAAATATTTGTTAAAAACTACAGTTCTTAGCTGTTTCAGAAAATGACACTTCATATCTGGTCACAGCTCTTAAAGAATTACGTTTTCAGTAGGACACATTATCTCATTTTCATGGCGCCTGTCAGTGGGTGGGATATATCAGGCAGCAGGTGAACATTTTGTCCTCAAAGTTGATGTGTTAGAAGCAGAAAAAATGGGCAGCGTGAGGATTTGAGCGACTTTGACAAGGGCCAAATTGTGATGGCTAGACGACTGGGTCAGAGCATCTCCAAAACTGCAGCTCTTGTGGGGTGTTTGCGGTATGCAGTGGTCAGTATCTATCAAACAGATCCAACAGACGAGCTACTGTAGCTCAAACTGCTGAAAAAGTTACTGCTGGTTCTGATAGAAAGGTGTCAGAACACACAGTGCATCACAGTTTGTCGTGTATGGGGCTGCATAGCATTACGACCACCAGGGTGTCCAGGTGGTCACAATGTTATGGCTGATCGGTGTAGAATATTGACAGCCTTATCCTTTGACATATGATAAGTGCATAGCAGCTCTGCTTCTATTGCCAATATGCTGTCTCCACATTAAGCATCTCCTGCTTAACTACATTTCCAAAATCCCTATACCTTAAGGTTTAACCTCTACTTGACCTTTTGTCAATCTCCTTAACAAAGGTCTGTAAAATGTTGAGGGGGTTCATGCAGCATTTAGGTGTAGTTTAATAACTTCTATCTCATTTTTTATCTCTTCTGGTTTGATTCTGATTGACATATGAGGTATTTTACCTCTCGGCTAAAGCCATATGTTTAGGTGATTACATCTAATAGCGTGACACTATTTTTGCTACTTTCAAAGTTTACATGTCATCTACCGTCTGCAGGTTTGTGCACCACGGCTCCATCTTGGATTGCGAAGAGGCCGACTGGGACTTCACAATGAACGTGAACGTCCGGAGCATGTACCTCATGTGCAAGGCTTTCCTTCCTAAGGTGACCTTTGCCCTCTTTACCTAATGCTTAACACCGTTTATCCTGTTGTTGAGAGAATGAAATAGGTGCTGTTGTAAATTCAGCGACATATGCTTTAATTTTGTTCTCATCCTTTTTCCGCTGGGATTAGCTGTATTACTCTGAGCCTGTGGCATGATGGGAGGTGACTGCCCAATCGCTAATCCAGCTTTAAACTAACCAAACCGTCTCAACGGAGAATTTTAGCTTGGATCTCACCATGTTTGTCACTGATTTGTTGCATAAAAAATGAAGACCTAAGACTATTGCATAATTTTACTCTTAATATTTGCCAATTATGTTCTGTTTATATGCCACCTTCCTAATTCGTGTTGTCGTTCTAGATGTTGGCAAAGAAATCAGGAAACATTATTAACATGGCATCTGTTGCATCAAGCATAAAAGGTAAATGATCTTCCACAGATCTTTTAACTGTAGATGACTGTAGAACAAATATTATCCCCAATTAAAGGGACATTAAGTCGTTGAAGTATAACCATGTTCATTGTAATCCTCTTATCTCAGATAATTGCTTTGTGCGTGTGTGTGTGTGTGTCTATGTGTGAGTGACCTATGTGTTTCCTCGAACACAGGCGTTGTGAACCGGTGTGTCTATAGTACCTCCAAGGCTGCCGTGATTGGGCTCACCAAAGCTATAGCGGCTGATTTCATTGACAAAGGCATTCGCTGCAATTGTGTTTGTCCTGGTAAGTTTAGTACGCCCTTCAAAATAAAAGTGTCCTTTTTATTCTTCCTCAAGCATTATTCAAGGTTACTTGCCTTTTAATAGATAACTATATTACTGTAGATATCCTTGAAAACAAATTAAATTGATGTTTTTTAGAAAGATTGAAGGGCCTTTCATGTTCGTGTTTTTTAAAGATACACAAGCCTTGTCCCTTCAAACTCGTCAGGCTTTCATCTGCACAGCAGACCTGAACTGAATCAAAGCATACCGATTTGTCTATCAAAGTCATCCAATTAGCCAAAGGCTATCTATATTTACGTATTCAATCTTGGGTTTCAGAAGAAAATTGGAGTTCTTTTATATTTTCTCAGGTACTGTTGATACTCCATCACTGAGGGGAAGGATCCAGGCCCAACCTGACCCAGAACAGGTAGATATGGTTGACTCAGATTTACTCTGTCATTTTCTCCATTCTTAATCTGACAGTAATGCCTGCATGAGTCATTTAACAGGTACATCTTATCTTTGTTTCCACAAGAAGAAATCCTTCTGGCCGGGTGTTGAAGATAATAACTGCTACAACTGTAACTCCTCTTTTTATGTTTCTCCTCAGGCTTATAAGGATTTCATGGCAAGACAGAAAACTGGCAGAATGTGCACAGCTGAAGAAGTGGCGCACCTGTGCGTATACTTGGCCTCAGATGAGGTGAGCGCTCGCAGATTAACTGATCCATGTCATGCATATATGTGGTATCAGTGTTTCTAAAAACCTGGCTTTGTCCCAGTGTACGATGCTTATCTCCAATGTAAACATTAAATATTCCATAAATATACACGCAAACACAGTTGTTCTTGATTGATTAGTGATCTGATGTTTCCTCTCCTTCACAGTCGGCCTATGTGACTGGGACAGAGCAAATCATCGATGGAGGATGGAGACTCTGAGAAAACTGTAGCGAGTTCACGGTGGCAGCAGTGGAGGCAGTCGCTTCTATTCTCATTCAAACCCCAAATAAAGTGACTGGTCTTTTTTTGGGGGGGGGGATTTTGCATATTATGTTTACTGATTCCATGGGAGACATTTTCTAACCTAAAAATCTATGCCTTAAATGTGTACAATGCCAAAATAATATGTTGACTGACATTTTAATAAATTGACTATATAACAAGTAGAGTACACTGGTATTATAAACTTAATAAATACATCATTTGTTAGTTTCACAAAGCACTCTGTCAAATTTTGACTGTGATTAATAAAGAAATTTGTTAAACATGCATTAAAAACGTCTTCACGAATACCCTTGAGTGACTTTTCCATTTAACCTAACTTCCCCCCAACCAAGCACTCCTGTGCGCGGTACATACATGCTTGGCCATCACTAATCCGCCTGATTCCCATTTCCCAGCTGCTCTATCTGCCACAGCACTGCCAGAAACTCTGCCACTGACAAGCGATGACAATGTTTACGATATGAGGTGAGCTGCTTTTTCTTTAATGACTGTTATATATTTAAGGAACCTGATAAAATGGGGTCAGGAGTGGTCTCTCTCTCTCTCTCTCTCTGTGTGTGTGTGTAGCACGCCACCGTGCTGAGTTCACTGACAGCTGTTGGTAGGGCGCACACAGCTACTGGCAATGAATCCAATGTCGGACAACGACACTTCCCTCTCTCCGCGAAATGTGATGGTTTTACCCAAAGGTATCAGAGTAGAGAGTGAAATTGAGCTTTGCTTTATTTACCGAAACCAGACTTTGTAGGTTACGGGGTTCAATTTTAGCAGTACAACAATGTAACGCTAACGTTAAGTCAGCCTGTGACGACCGGGAGTTTACGTTGGCGTTATCTAACGTTAACCTGACGTTATTCAACATGACCCTCTTTAAAGCGGTTCCCAGTTAACGTTAACATAATTAACAAGGTTTAATAGTTTAGCCGATGCTCACACGAGGAAATAACGTTACGTTGTTTAAAGCGTTACCGTTAGTGAGAAGGCATGTCTTTGTCCGATAATGGGTCCACTGTTGTGGTTTATCGTGAGGCGTGGATTTGCCTCCTCACTAGCTAATTACTGTAGCTACGGTTTTCAGCTGCCTCTGTCCCTACACTTGTGTGCACTGTGACCAGACCCCAAGGCAACCAAACGTCAAAACACATTGGCTTGCTTAGCTGGCTAGCTAGGCGGCTACCGATGTCACCACTTAGGGTTTTTTGTTGGCAGTCGCTAAGTTAAGTCTAACCTACTTGCCCTAGCTCTCGACGTAACGCACTCCAGCCGACGCTAGCTAGGTGTGCCATATGGCTGAGCTGTAAGCATTGATTAGTGTGGTCTCTCACAATTGGATTAACCAACGTCTGTTGCCATGAGCAACTGTCAAAACATTGTAGTAGCGTTAAGTTAATGGAAATGAGTTACTTGTCAACGTTTGTGTGTAATTAATACAGCTTGAAGTAACAGCTAAAGTTATTAAGAGTATAGTATTAGCCCATTGTAATGCGTTAGAGCGGGATTACTTTGTAGTACAGTAGTGCGCCATGTTGGCATGCCAGCTTACAGCTACATACATACAGTATTAGCCTCATGGTTCCTCATGTACACAGGAATCATGTGTTCCTTTTTCCTCATTCACCCCCTCCTGGTCAGACCCAGTACAGTATCTGTTAAACTAAACAAAAAAGCTGTGTGTAAGATTAAAGTTATCATTTCATGCCAATTTCCACACCTGTGCCAACATCACTGTTCTCCATTATTAAGTAAATAATAATTTGTTTCTCTTCCGATAAAACCGTGCTGTATGAATAGGAGCCTGCGGTCAGAGGTGGACATACAGAAGCAGAAGTGAAGGAACTGCCCATCAATGGCTATCAACCCCACCCCTAGGCTTGATGTACTGTGATAGAGAAGTGAGTGGAGCAGAAATACTGTAGCCAATTGCCATGGAGGACACCCAGCCCAAACCTGTTACCCCGGAGCCGAGCCCTGCACCCAGTCCAGCACCCAGTCCAGCACCCAGTCCAGCACCCAGCCCGCTGCTGGACAGAATTATTTTGCCTGCAGCAAACCATGTGGAGGTATAGTATTTTACTATTAAGATTCTCTTGGTCTAACATAGTCATATTTGAGTTGTCACTGCCTTGGCAAAAAAAAACTGTAAAGGCTGCTTGGTAACAAATATTCTTTTTTTGGAAGGAAAAATGTTTCTCAAATGCCATAGCATAGGTTTTTTTATTTCCCCAAATAAGACATTGAATTTTAAGATACATATAAACTGTCATCTTCTTTGTCTCTTTGTTTTAATATACAATTAAATAACCTTGTAAAATGAATTGTTCGCCTCAGACAATTTGCTGGAATTCTAATGTGAATGAATTAAAAATGCAGGTCAAAGTAAAAAAAAAAAAAAAAGTCAAAACTTTGTGCCAATGTACCCACCTGAGCAATATGACAAAGAAGGTGTTCTGGGAGTCGCAGTTATCAGCTTCCGTGGCCCGTTCATATCTTCACTCTATTGTTTGTAAGAAACTGTAGTCTGTAATCTGCTGGTATGACGTACCTCTGTGTCAACAGTACTGATAGGGCACGACAATTAATAAGGGTTTGGCAATTAAAGAGGCTACAGGGACATCTATCAACCAGTTTCTAATCTTTCTATAACCACTGCATTCATACCTGTGTCAGTGTGACATTTGAGATCTGGTGTTCTGTGCAAGGTGTCCTGTTAATGCTGACTGCTTAGCTACTTGTGTAAGGCCTGGATATTCATAAATATATGTCCTGTATTGGATATTGCAATCAACAGTACATTTTAAGACATAAAGATATTACAACATACCAAAAAACCTTCATCATGCATTGGCTTTACAGGTGTGATGTTAAGGGAACTGACAGAAAACTAATGTCTGCCCGGCAAATGTGATCACTGACCTATTCTTGTGCACATTCTGTTCCTCCTTCTCCAGCACCTAAGTGTGAACCAGATCCAAGTGGTGGTACGGCGCTGTTCCAGTCCAAATGTCACAGAGGAGACCACCTATTTTATTCCACGAAACCCTGTGGTGGATGCTGGCACCAACACAGACCCGCCAGTGGTCTGCTGCCCTTTGCTCCACAGATTTTGCCCATGTCCACCAAGAGGTTTCCTGGCCTCTCTCATTACTAAAGGTAAGGGAGGGGGGGACTCAAGTTGGTTCAAGTTGGTTCAAGTTGGCTCTACCCTGGAAATGTGTGGAAAAACTGCAGATGACATGAGTATCATGTATACCTTGAGGTATCTGAGAAATACAGGAATGCTGTAGATAAATACATACTTTCAAACAATACTTTAATTTATGTTCACATTATAAAATGCACTCACAGACAGTGAAGTGAATCATCAGTGAGGAAGTTTAAGAGGTTGAAAATTGTAACACAACAAAAATACATGTAATAATCTGCTTATTACCCACTCATTCTTAATGCCTATAAAAACCTGATCACATTATTGTTCTCATTGATATCACCATCTAATATCTGTCTCCTCTGCCCTCTCTAGTCCTATTGGCAGCTGTTCTCTTTGGAGTGGTGTGGTCCATCACAGAGAAAGAATGTCTTCCAGGGGGCAACCTGTTTGGCATCACAATCCTCTTCATCTCTGCACTCATCGGTGGCAAATTAGTATCTTTCATTCGTCTGCCCAAACTTCCACCGTTCCCACCACTCCTTGGTAAGTCTGGGGATTTAGTGGTTATGTTTCATGCAGGTGTGTTTATACAAGCCTTTATTTCATATTTAGTTACACAGATGCCTTGGCCAGGGTGATATATTTAGCAACACAATACATCTTTTTCCAGTGTCAGTGTTAAAAGTACAGCCGGCCATATTTTTGTCCATAACAATTAGACAGATTACATAAAGGCTCAACTGTTGCATCATTACTTACTAGTTTATACTAGTTAGTCAGCATTAATCAATGAGTATTTGTAAGAGGTTATCAAACAAGCAGGTTGAAAAATTACAATAAATACATACAAACGGCTAGCAGTCTGACAAGGAGTGCTCTGTGTATACAGCACAAAGAATTGTATTTGCAGATAAATTAATAATAATTAATTCATAATAATAATAATTAATTATAAATTGGCCAAGGAAATATTAATGCTGTAACAGAAATAATGCAAAATATTCTCCACAGCCTAATGAGTGTCATACATCTTAAAGCCATGTATGTATTCATTTTATGATGTATTGTAAAGGAATCTGCTGACTCATTCATTTCACCTTTGTCATTGATATAAGGACTTGGGGTTAAAAGGAGAGTTCATGATTAACTATACAATCATGTTACTCACTTTTTCCATTCTGAGTCAAGTACACATAAGCTGCTGATGCACTGGGTTCTGTTGGTACTTTATTTTGTGTTTCGCTTCTATTGGTTTTATTGGTGGCCTTCACAAGATAGCCCTGTTTTCTTGATATTGCACGGCGATGATCACTTCTGCTGTGATCGAAAAATGTTTGGGTAATACATCTTTTTTATTTAAGGAATATGTCATCACTAATTATGAAATAAAAGAGATGTGACTTGATCAGGCTCTGGTTAAGTGTTAATGCCGTCTAATGCGTTAGGGCTTGAAAAAGTCATAACATTGCTAAGAAGATAGTGTAAATGTCATTTACAATTGTGGTTTGAATGTAATATAAGGTGAATATGAATCTAGAAATTGAAATCATAAGCCACCAGCTGCTCCCCTAACAAGATAAAAATCAAGGAAGCTGGAGCCACTCCTTATTTGTAAATAACATCAGAAAGTAGATTGAAGTTCAAGTCAGATATAGGAGTGGATCTTGGAGTTTGTTTCTCTCTTAACTTCATTTTCCAGTTTTTTCCTCAGAAGTATATTCTTGTTTACCAGTTCAGTGTCTGTTTCTGTATTTTGAAACATTTTTGACACCAACTGCCAAGAGGATTCCTGTATGAGGATATAATACTATAAGTCCTCAGTCCCCACTCATTAACAGTTTTTAATATTTTCTCGTTATCTATCATTTCCCTTGTTGAGAACACATCCATAACCATAATCATAAAGAGCTTAAATTTAATTTCCACAATTCTTAATAATGCAGTGTAACATTATAGTGAAATATTCTCATTGCCAAATCACTTTGTAGAGAAGGTTTGGACCTTTTTGAAACTTAATTTTATTGATGCTATAAGACAAAGTCCCCACAGTGGGTCTCAGTGTCTCGGATGTCCAACACGAGCACTGTAAGTTCAAAAAGCAACAGGCGATCCTTTTTGGTTCTGTATCTGTGTGAGAGACAGTCCTGAAGGATCATCTTTCCTCTCTCACACCCTCTGCTGTGTTGCAGGTATGCTGCTGATGGGTTTCCTGCTGAGGAACATCCCAGTGGTAACAGATGGGGTGTACATTGACTTCAGATGGTCGGCATCACTGAGGAACATCGCTCTGGCTGTCATTCTGGTCAGAGCGGGTCTGGGGTTGGATCCCATGGTATGCCACATACACGTATTCCACTATTGAAGCTCGGTATCTTAGTATCTCTGTGCTTATGACTCGCCTCGACTAGGACTGAAACTATCCTTATGATTTTTGATTAGATTTCTATCTGCCCAGGACTCCAAAGTAATACATTTCCAATGATATGATATGAGAAAAGGCAAGCAAATCTGAGCCTTGGAGAAGACATAACTAATTAATGCTTGCTTTAAAAATGTATGCAATTGGTTTGCAGCAAGTCATCTTGTCCATACATTTTCAGATGTTTCAGACAGTTAATCAACAAATCATTCAGTATTTCTAAACATCACTACACGGATTAATCCTCTTTATCTCTGTATAAAAGTCAGCTAATTACTGCTAAAACTCTTGAATGATGTATGTGTCTGTGTTTTCAGGCCCTGAAGAAACTAAAATCTGTGTGTCTGCGTGTAGCAGCTGGGCCCTGCATCATAGAGGCTTGCACCACAGCTCTGGTCTCTCACTTCCTCATGGGCTTGCCCTGGGTGTGGGGCTTCATCCTTGGGTAAATAGAACACTACCTACTCTCCCTCTCTGTCTCCACTCTCCGTTTTCTACTAGCAAGCTCTATATTACCTTTACAGTATGTCAGACAGATAGACAGACACATTTCCTTTGAAGAACATATTGAGGAATCACATATATTTACCATTTAAATTTCAGCTTATATTAAAAGCTTTTATTTAATTGGGGATGGTTTAAAGCGCACACTGATTTTGACTTCACAGGGTCTATTTTTCCTATTTTTTTTATTCTTCTCATAGACAATCAGTGATTTTTGATTCACAACGTACTTCCATTATAAGCTGTGTGAAGATACTGTTCAGCTTTCTGTGCTACAGGAGCAGTTTACTCCTCTGCAGCAGATATAAGCAGAGTACCTGCAAGGAACCTGTTCCCATGAAGTAGAGTGGAAAACGCACTGCTCAGCGAGAGTCACTAGATCACATTGCAGCTTCTTGTCTGACAAGTTTGACTATTTACGTCAAGTTGAGTCAATGGCGCCTTTATATTTCTGCCTGGTCAGAACTCGTGTGCTGTCAGTAGTTGAAATAGAACTTGAGATATCACACTTCATGTGCTGTTCCCCCTCTGAGTGTGTTGCTTATCAGTGGCTGAAGGGTGGATGGGGGCCAATACAAATATTTTTGTACTGCTCAAGTCAAATGTCAATGTTTGAGCCTGAAGATCACTGTCGGCATAATGCAATGTAGGGATCTTCTGACTGGTAGCAGAATTTTGAAAGGCTGATACTTTCCAAAGGTTTCCAAAGTCTCTCTACACAAATTAATAAACGATCCATCTCCTCCACATTGTAGCTTCGTGCTGGGCGCTGTCTCTCCGGCGGTGGTGGTTCCCTCCATGTTACTGCTGCAGAAGGACGGTTACGGCGTGGAGCAGGGCATCCCCACCCTGCTGATGGCTGCAGGCAGCTTTGACGACATTCTTGCCATCACAGGGTTCACCACATGCTTAGGCATGGCCTTTGCCACAGGTAACCTATGGACGTGTGTGTTTTTTGTGTGCGTGGAGAGGCGAAAGAAGTGTGTTCTTTTTATTGAATTCACCACCTTTATGTCCAGGAGAGAGGAGAAGTTCAGCAGAGGGTGTGATAGATGCAGAGTGAGGATGTCAAGCATTAAAAATAAGAAATGGAAGGTTGAACTTTGATGACAAAGAAAAGTTAGAACCAACACTGTACAGCACACTGTAGCAACAAGGAACTTTATCATGAAGCAGAGAAGGGAAAACACATGAAATAAATAAGTTCTATCTGTAGTTAGTCAGGAGCTCAGCAGAGGGTGTGAGTGTGCTGTTTACTCTTGTTAAGACTTAAAGGGTTTTTTGTGCCATGTCACAGTGCTGTATACCACAATATGGAGCCTCTGTAGGGACATACTAAGCTGCATTTAAAACAATAAATAATATCATCAATTTACCAGCTACTTTCATGAATTGCCATTGTTTACTACATATTTGTATTAGTTCAGTTAGTTGTATTACATTCATTGTTTATATTTTTCATGTTTCTAGGCTCCACCTGGTACAACCTCTTGAGAGGTGTACTGGAGGTGGCTGGTGGGCTGGTTGCTGGCCTTCTTCTTGGCTTCCTCATTCAGTACTTTCCTAGTGTTGACCAGGTAGGCGTGCTGTTTACAGCATTACGATTATATTAACCAGTTTTACTCTTGCTTAGTCATCCTTACACCACTTGACACCACAGCCTGTGTCTGACACAACTCTGGAAGAGCAAAAAAAAAAACGCTTGAAAAAACATCAGTGAAGTGTTCCAGGTCTGATTAAAAATGATAAACTCTGTGGAGTTTTGATGAGAACACACAGGAATATAATGAAAGAGATGTTTTTGGGGGTCAAGATAACAGATATAACACTGTACTATCCCAACTCAGACTCAAGACTTGTCAACAAATCCGTCTGTATGAATCAGTGTAGGTTAAACACAAGTACATTCAATTTTGAGATTAACCACCATTATATATAATGTGACACCTTACCTTAAGTGTCACATGGAGCATTTTGTATTTATAGATTAAATTATATTAAAATATTCATTCGTTTTTCTCCCAGAAACATTTAGTAATGAAGCGATCCTTCTTGGTGCTGGGTCTGTCCGTCTTTGCCGTGTTCGGCAGCGGTGTGGCTGGGTTTCCTGGCTCTGGAGGGCTCTGCACCCTGGTGTTGGCATTCCTGGCTGGCATCGGCTGGGGGACAGAGAAGGTAATAACATACGCTCTCTATTCCCAGTTATCCATCTTGACAAAGTTAGCTCAGCAGAAATTATTGAAGCACATCTTCACCAACCTGCTAGGATGCACAGTAAGATATTCATCAGTACATTAATAAATAAACATTCACCCTGCTGCATGTGAAAGTTAAACATTTCCATGTGTTCTGTTTGTCTTAAGGCACGAGTGGAGGAAGTGGTGGGGTGGGCATGGGATGTATTTCAGCCTCTACTCTTCGGACTAATAGGAGCCGAGATTCGAATCTCTGAGTTGGAGGGAGTCACAGTTGGTAAGACGACACACCGCACACACACACACACACACACACACACACACACACACACACAGCCACGCACACTTCAAAATAACACAGTGAGGTCCCTGTTATCACTGTAAGAGATTCAAATGCGACTGTATGGATGTAAATATATTTACATACCAAAAAGAAGCCCCTGAAGAGTTTTATCTCTCTGTGTCCAGTAAATATTAACCATCTGTGCACTCATATACTGTACTTCCATAGACGTTTGCATATGAGAGTTCCTTCGGAAACATATCTTAGATTTCTCCCAAAAACAATAATCTTATTCATGCCTGAACAAATGACCAAAATAACATATTTTTGGTGTTCTATGTTTAGCTGTAATGGAAGAAAAAAATTCTTGTAACATAATTTATTATGGATGAAAAACGTGATCAAATTTTACTCTCTTCACTACCCAGAATACATTGTGTGGTTTGGAATAGTTTTTATTTTGGGAAAAACAGTTTTTAGGGAAAATCCACCACAGCTCTTACCATGACCCATTAAAAAAACTGTGAGCTGCTTTTAAAAGAGATGAGAGGAGCAGATGTGGTGGGCATTATTAATACTTCAACTGCAGGCTGTCCATCTTTTAAAAATGTGTTCATACACCTACAGGGCCTTTTTCCAGGTGGCTCTATGCTAGGCTACTGTTGCATATGCACTTCTGATCAGAAAATATGATAAATGAAAAATTTAATTCATGTATTTCTTTTTCGTGAATTGTATAGCTTCAAAAGTACAGACAGCAACTTCTAAGAATAGATTTTTTTGCAAATATGTAAATATTATTTTGGCGTAGGCGTAATAATAACCCACAGTTACTAGATCTTTCTAGATATACAAGTAGCATAGCAAGCCAGCCTGTGTGGTTTTCTCTTTTCATCACTACTGTGCCCCTCCTTGCCCACAGCTGTTAAGAGGAAATACTAATGATATAATAATTGTTGCCTTTTATAGCAGTATATCTCCGTACCAGTGTAGTTGAACATCTTTGTATGACTGTTTGTCTGTTTAGGTCTGGGTATAGCCTCTCTGCTCATCGCCCTGCTGGTTCGAATCCTGTTCACCTTTGTCTGTGTGATGTGTGCGGGCTTTACCATGAAGGAAAAAGTATTCATAGCCCTAGCATGGATGCCCAAAGCCACTGTACAGGTTTGTGCACTTGTCTTTCTGAGAGTTTTATTCTCAGTTAGGGTTTTTCCAGTAAGTAATAAATTATTTTTCCTCTTGTGGTGATAGTTAATATCATTTGTGAGTAAGTATAGAGGAAACAATGGTGTCTTTGTCTTCATCAGGCGGCTATAGGCTCCACAGCTTTAGACATGGCCAGGACAAAAGACGATAAGGAGCTGCAGAGGTACGGCATGGACGTGCTGACGGTGGCCGTGCTGGCCATCCTTCTCACAGCTCCTGTAGGAGCTCTTATCATAGGGCTTTCTGGACCTCGCCTGCTCCAAAAACCAAAGAACTCCTGTGGTGAGCGAGTCAAACCCACTTTATCAGCCTTTTTCTTAGGTAGGTAAAGTCCCACATTCAACAATTCAAACTCAGCTCAACACCCCTCCCCATGGAGCCTTGCCTCGTAGTTGCGTTTGAGTAGTGGATATCCTTTGCTGCAAAGCTTTTTTTTGATAGATGCATCCACTCAGCCTAGGATTTGCATAGCTTTAGGGTGCTTCTATTTACCCAGTCTTTCATGCCTTCATGTATTTTACATTCACACAACAGTGTCATTGTGGCTGTTAACCACAGTGCAAAAGTGTAACTCATGCTTGCACACAGTCTTCAGCTTTTGTTTGTTTACTGGAGGATCTGAATAGCATGTAACCAGTCTTTTACTGAAGCTTTTCATCATTTCTCCCTCTGTCTTACCCAGGCACCGCAGCAGGAGGTGAAGAGGACGATGAAACTCCTATCACCTATGAGAGTACCCTCTGACCATCCACTGAGGGAGGACATTTTAAGAGACTTCCGGTGTGCTTTCACACCTTGGATATTTGAGTTTTCCTTTAGCCACCGAGTGGCTCTCTTTGTCTCTCTATCTGCCGGTCAGCTCCTGGTGTTTGCCATGCTGCAGGAACACATGAATCACTCTGTATTTATAGCCTCAAGGGGTTTCCAGGCCTCAGGCTCCAAACAAATGACCCACACCTCAGTGTCTGCACTGTCACGCTGTATGAACAGTATACATGGGGTGGTTTTGTTTCGTTTAATCAGCTTTATTAGTGTGAGGCATGGATATGGTTTACATTGTTTGTAAAGGTGGGTATTATTCCTGCCTGTCATATTCACTGAATCCACTATATGCCCCTTTTTTATGACTACATTGGAAAAAACTATTTACTGTATTTGGACTTGAAAATGTGATAATGCTGGATTTTATTATAAGCAGTTTCCTTTTGAGGGCTACATAATTGAATGTACTGACAGTGTATTGTATTGTTTTAAATTAGACTAATTAGTTGACACACGCTTAAGTCTTTAGGTGTTCTGTGCTCAGTACAATATTTTTACCCCTTTGTGTTTGTGCGTTTTTTGTTTTAATAAAATATGTATTAGCTGAGTGTCTTGGTGATGAGAAGGGTTTGTGTAGTTTACAAAGAATCAGGAGAAGACATAAATAATACACAATGCTTTCCTTTGGCTTATATACAATGCTGCTAAAACCCTGCTACACTCACTGTCCACTTTCAATATCATGAAAACATTAATGTAAACCCACCTTTTATAGTTTGATTATAAAGGAAAGTAATTTTTCACATTTGTTACATATTTCTTTTTTATTACAGAAGTATGCAGTGTTACTTAAGATGTTTTTGATTTGTTTAAATGTTCTTGTGTATTATTAGTTATTATTTATGATAGATTTACATGATTGAAGCTTAGTTTTTTACCAAATATTCTTTGAGCAATAAATGATACAACATACCAAGGATTGTCCATCTCTTTGGTCTAGTTCAGTATTACTATGCAATATATGTTTACGATTTGACTTACTGTATGTTTTACCATGTCTTTAATTCGGGTCGGTTTCTGTACTGTTTGCTTTTTAGCCACACTAGCATTGTGGCATCAAGACAGTGTTGGTCAGTCGGTCTACAACTTTTGTCCAATAATTGGATGGATTGTCATGAAATTTGGTACAGATATCAATGGTGCCCAAAGGATGAACTCTAATGACTTTAGTGATCCCCTGATCTTTTCTCTAGTACACCCAGGAAGCCTGAATTTTGACTTATCCAGTGAACAAGCCCAACATCTACTGGATAGCACACAATATTGTACAGATATTCATGGTTCCCAGAGGATGAAACCCCACTGAATTTCCTCTACCTCCACCGTGAGATTCACATTCGTACTTAAGCTCAAAAATGTCTCAACAGTTGGATTACCATGCAATTTAGTATATACAGTTAAAATGAAATGTAATAATTGAATTTTGTGTTATGACCATAAACCTGAAAAACTAATGACATTCCCCCATTAGAGCTAATTAGCAAATGTTAGCAAGCTAACACGCTAAACTAAGATGGTGACCATAGTAAACATTATACCTGTTAAACTTTAGCATGTTAGCATACTAAAGTTAGCACTTAGCTCCAAGAACCACTGTCCCTAAGTACAGCCTCACAGTGCTGCTTCATGCTAGCCTCATGCTAGCCTCTTACTGTTCATCAATTTACAAAATACAAAAGCAAGAGCAAATGTGATTCTGTTAGTGGCTTTCTTTTTGTCTTTTTGAGGCTGTTTGGGTAAAAGTGCCTTCAACAGTTCACTTCTGTGGAAATATATGACCCTGAATCCAAGTTTAACCTGAAAAAATGAGGAGCTGACAATTAGAAAGTGATGTACTCTGTTACCTTGTTATTAATTGAAAGGTATTTCAACTCAAGCTTACATGAAGTGTTTCCCAATCATAATTTATAGTGAAAGAAGGGAATGAAGCTGCAGTTCTGTTTGCCAAAACTGTTGAGTTAAACATCCTGACTGTTCGGTTTTACATTTTACATTTCATTAAAGAATGAATCAATTCCAGCCATTTCTTACAAAGGTTCATAAACACGCAGTCATTCATCATGAAAACACAGATCTGAAAGGCAATTTATGTCTAAAATATTGCTCATGAATTAAGAAGGAAATACTCCAGCAGAAAGTCAACTATATACAGCCATTATGACAATACAAAGGCTATCCAAAAAAAACAAAAAAAAAACGGTATAGAGCTTCTGAAGTTGCAGCAGATACATTCTCAAACCTCAATAGGGCAGTGAGGTTAAAACTGTAACTGGGTATTACTCAACGGTGCAGTGGTTTGAAATGTTTGTAGGCAACGGAGTTGGATATAAATTGAAAACTCAAATGTTTAAAGGCTATGAACAAAATACATCTGAAAAAAATAATAAGTAGCCTCCCATACACACAATAACTTATAAGAGAATATTTCACATCCTTAAAGTGTGGACATGTTAATATTTGGCACACAGACAATCTGAAAAAAGGAAAAAGAAACACTACAAAGGCTGACTGTTAAAAAAAAATTAAAAAAAAGAACCTCCAGAATGAAGACATACAGTACAAAATGTTAATTACAGGTTGGAGTAGTATTACGTCTAATTCTAACAACCATTTAAGAGGGACTTACCCTGATGTGTTCAGATTAATGAAAGTCATCATTAAAGTCACTGCATTTATGTTTCAAGTTTTTCCCTCAAAGTGGTCCCAGTGATGAATTGTAATTGATTTGAACAAGACTGAGACATGACTAAAATTGAAGTTTACAGTCATATAAAAAGTGTTCTGTTAACCAACACAAGTAAAGACTGAACAAAGGGTAACAAAAAAAAAAAACACAACAAGCAACACCTTCTTAACTGCACAACCTAAAATGCAGTTTTCACACAATCTCACTGTCAATTTGTATTTCTAGGTGTGTTAGAAGCACTTCAAATAAAGACTGAGGAAGTGAATTTTTCAGACCAACAACATGACACCAAGGCCCGAACAGCATTCTTGTAAAAAAAAAAAAAAAAAAAAAAGTAGACAAACCACAAACTGTTAGGAAAAGAAAACTAAAGGCTTGTGGAGGTGAAAGCAAAACTCCCATCAGTGGTCGATTACAGTATCTTCTTTTTGAGTATGAGCGGTCCCACGTTGTCTCCAGTTAGCTCGTTGTGCTTTAAGTGTGACTTGTCACACACAGGAAACTAAAAAACAGGAAACAACTCAACATCAGCTGATCAGCAAGATACAGAAACACTAAACTCTCCTTTTTCCTGAAGTAAAAAATACATACAAGAAATGATTGACTTTAGTAATAAAAGTACAACTTCTCTAATATATGTAAGTGAACTTTATTTAGCAGTCTGTGTGATAAATAACTATGCCAGTTAACTGTCACTACAGTTCAGTCCCAGCCTCCATTATATATAGAAAAGGTCAAAATAAAAGCAGTCAACTTACAGTTTTGGAGCGCCAGCAGCGACAGTAACACACATTGGCGCTGTTCAAGTCCTCGATGTCTATCTCGTTGACCACTTTTGGGTTCTCTTTCTGGATCTTCAGGTTGATCAGGCTGTCTCTCTGCTTCTTCTTCTTAGGCAGGAATGGACGAATGGTCAGATAGCCCAGAAGAGCCAAGATACCCAGGAGAGGGAGCAACCGGAGCCACTCGGACACTGCGGACACATTACACACACATTAGCAAACGTAGGAAAATAACCATGAACGCCGGCATGCTATAACTAGAATAGCTTTGGCCATAGGGGATGGGGCTTAGATTACTGGATGCTGATGATTAATCAATTTGTTAATGGGCAGAAAATTAATCAGCAACTATTTTGATTTGTTGTTTAATCACTTGAGTCATTTTCCAAGCAAAAATGCCAAATATGTAGTGGTTCCAGCTTCTCTAATTTGAGAATTTACTACTTTTCTTTGCCATATATGAAAGTAAATTAAGTTTTTTTAGGGTTTGGACCATTGACCAAACTATTCAAGCTATATGAATAAATCACCAGAGGCTTTAGGAAATTGTGACGGGCATATTTTCCATTTTACAGACAGAATTGTTAATACAAAAGATAACTTACATCTTAATCATTAAAGAAAATAACCATTAATTACAGCTGTACTTCAATTCACAAAACCTACTTCCGATTAGGAAAACAATTACTCCAGTCACGGCAGACGGCACCCCGGGTCGTCCATTCAGATTTTTGAAAGATGTAATACATTCTACCATCGGAGTACACTGTATGATATACAATGCACTGACTCCATGGATGGTTACCTTTGAACAGTGCTGGATAAAGAAAACTCAAATATTGTGGTAGGTACTGTTTATGTTTTCAAAAGCCTGATACAGTACATCTGCCACCGGTTTCATACCATGACGTTAGTGAGACATTAAAACATCCTACAGATATAAGCTTTTTAAATACATGATTATATAAACAGGGTAGAGAGCAGGGCGACACACTGTACACTGTATGCACTCTCATTTGCATTTTCTGCTCTATTACTGATCATTGAAGAGTATCGTCTCACGCGAGCAGCTATCAGTGGGAATGCCACACTCGGCCCACAAAAGTGCTTTGGGAAACACATCATTCAGTCCTCCATACATGGAGAGGATAGACAAGTGAAGCACAGTGAGGATTAGCCACAGTTATGTAATCTTACTATTAGCTGTGAGATATACCCCAGGACTTTTCATAATGCTCTTATGGCAATTAAAATACTCTAAAAAAAAAGGATTTTGATACCTAATGGGACATTACTAATCCTTAATCTCTTTAAAGGAATTATATTTCACATGAAGGAGCATTTAATAAATCTTTCTTCGTACAATCTGCACTGACTAAATTGATCATTTATGACAGAAAAACACAACTTCAGAAACAGGCTTTAATTCAGCCAACATCTGCAAACCTCTAACTTTAAAGCCAATAACAGCAAGGCTTTCAAAAGCTTTAGCAAGTAGCACTAAGCACCACAATACCTAAAATCTTCAATGCATGTTTTTGGTTTCACAGCCTTCTCAGAGAGGCACTACTCAAATGGTTCTAGCATGTCAATTGTCACAAAGGCATGTCAGTAATGTAGGACTGCTCAGCCTTTTTACTTTTTTGGGCTATTTTTAGGCTACATTCGATACTTCCCAAAGACCTGTGTTGGCTGAAAGGTCAAGTCGGAGTGGTTGATCAGCTTCAAGGTGGACTTTCACTTGAGGACACTTTGGTTCTCTAAACCACTGTTGCACTTGTTCACCCGCTTAACTGCACACAAACTCTGCTCTTGCACTCAACTAGAAGCTGTGGGGGACATTTTTGTGTGCACGGTTTAATCTTATTGTTGAAGACTTGCAAATAAGCTAATGAATCCGCTTTTGTGTTCTCAATTTGCAAGAGCTGCCACATGTGAAAAGACATCTCATGATGCAGTCCAGGACAGGTTCATGTAAAATAAGACAGAATTAGACAGAACTTTATCCAGAGGGAAGTTGCAAATGTAAAATAAAAATAATTAAAAAATGTATAATAATTGTTAGTTTCGCAGCCACCGTAGGTTCTCCTATTCGCTTGGAGGAAGGGGAGGGTGAGTGGAGGGGTTATCAGTTGGTTGCAATCTGCAACCTCACCGCTAGATGCCTACACACTGGACCTTCAATGTGGACTGTGGCTGATACACAATCCTCTCAATAAGGCGAGTATCGGGTCGCTACATCGCTAGACACTGATGCATTGATATTTGTTTAATGTATTCAAAATAATTCAAAATAATCCTGCTGGAGCTCGCCCCGTTGCTGTTGAGCTGAATATCAAAGTTTGGGAGAGCAACTGATGATTCATTTTATTATCCATTAATATTGAGATTTCTCAATTAATCTTTTAATTAACACCAGAACAGTGAAGATGACATCTCAAACACCATTTTCTGTCTGACCAGCAGACCAAGACTTAGAGAAATTAATTTTACTATAATTTAAGATTTAAAAAAGCAGCAAATTCTCACATTTGAGAAGCTAGAACCATTGCATTTGGCATATTTCCCTAAAAATTGGTCCATTTTGGGACATGAACCTGAAGTCTGTATCTACAAACGTCGTGAAACACGGATCATGATGTACAGTAGTCTGTGTTTTTAGTGCATCACTTGTGAAAGTACGGCTGACTGAGCTGGTTACATACTGCGCTAGAGGCAAACATGGCAGCACATTTCTAATTGTTGTTATTAACATGGTATCACTTACATCGCAGACCAAAACACACAAATAAAAACCTTACTGTGGACGCACTACCATAAGGTCACTACTGAGTTGATGTTGCTAGTAAGAACAACACAAATCAAACGATGATAAAGAGTTTTAAAGGAGCCACTTAAAGCACGTAACACAGGTTCAGTAGGACACTGCCATCCACAGCATGACTATGACTCTGAGTTTTCGTTTGCAGGCTAGCTAAAGATAAAGGGGCTCTGTGCTGTAAAGTGTCCCCGAAGTTCAGAAGTCATCTCCACAGGCCGGTCAGAAGTTCCACACAGCTGCAGTTCATTACCTGTCAACCTTGCAAATCCGCCGATGGTCTCCGGAAGCGGAAGCCTCTTGAGGTATGCTGGAAGCTGGACTTTTATTATCCTTGAAATACTTTCTAAAACCATCTTGAATTGCTCAATGTGTCAGGTTTTGTGTTTGACTTGGATAGTTCCTGGGGTCTGTTCATGTCATTGCGTTCATTTCTGAGCGCAGCCTGTCACCGGTACGTAAACTCTCACCGCGAAGGTCGGAAACAGCCGAAGAATTGAGTAAACAGCGTCGTGAATAGACGTAACAACGGCCTGTGACGGTGGAGCTCCTGGCCAATCAGAGTCGGAGGAGTTGGTGGCTCCTGATTGGACAACTTGAATTCAGCGTGAAGAAGGTTTTCTGTGTACTTCAGGTGCTCCTCGTAAACCTCGGTTTCACAGACGTAAATAAGGTCAAATCAATAAATATAAATATTGTGTCCAATTACAAAGGCAGTGTGTTAAAACGATAAATGTGCACACATATATTAAGTAAAAATGAGACACATGTATTTAACCGTTGTAATCTCCAGCGCCCTTTGGTCATTTAACTGTTAACTGCAGAATAACTATAACTGCATGCTCTCCATCTTTTAAAGTCACCTCTCTCAACACTCAATGGTTTCACTTTACTGAGTTTCATGTGCATATTGTTGGGCACCCAAAGGCAGCATGTTTGTGCATCATCCTGTTTGGCCTTTTTTTACACAATTTTAATTGAGTATTGCAAGAACTTTTCTTAAACATCCACAGATATGCAAATGCACTTGATTAAATGTATCTGATTGTATGACAATGACATGTTTCCTATTAAATTATTTGTTACACTGCTTCTCTCTCATAGCTCTCCATCCCAGAGTGGGAGTATATCAACTTTTGTCCCAGGTATCTCAAACCATACCTTTTAGGGTTGTGCCATACTTATGCAAGGCTCATGTGAGATTATATGTTTTTGTCAAGAGAAGAAAATGCTAGTATATACTGTACATTAATATTGCGATATACTGTAAAATAGCATAAACCATGATAGAAGACCCACTTGATGCCTAAAATAAATACCAGATGGATACCAGGGTTTATTACCAGGGTTTATCACAGTCATGTACTGTAAAGAGAAACTGAGAAACATAATCAAGCGTGTCTCCACAAGCTACAATGGTAGAAGCATAAGTGCTTCCATCCAGCATAATGAGACACCATGTGGATGCCCCACAGACAAATAGTTTATGATAGAAAATATGTCTTAAAGTTACTTTGGTACTACTACGCCTTTCTTCAATTATAGTCTGAGACTTAAAATTCCTGTTCTTGAAATAGCATTCTTAGGAAACTTGGCTTCATTATTATGGACCTGCTAATTATATGTAGGCATTTAAACCGGTTATTGGTGTGCTGTCTGCAATACAGCATATGTATCTTTGCCTTAGATAAAACTAGATATCCAATTAAATAAAAGGGTAAACCTCTGTATATTCCCGCTATCCAGCCTCCAGGAACAAGGTGGCAACAGATGAATGTGACACGCTGGTATAGAAAACCTGCCAAGCTCTAGGCTCAAGGACCAGGATCTGGCACACTATGAATTAAGTGAAACCATTTCTCTTACAAGCAGTGAAGCAGACTTCTCAGATTCTTCATAAATTTGCAATGTCATAAGAGAAAAATACTCACATTACAAGTGAAGGTCACATGTCATATTTATATTAAAGTAATTTTTTATTGAAAAAATATTTTTTGACATAATGTAACTTGGTGCATTTAACAGTATGAAATTACTGTAAATGGTGTCGTAAATCATATATGTGGTCCTGTTAGTGTTAAGTTTGTCTAACTGCAGTAATACTTTCTAAAGTTCACTCTACATACATGTTACCTGATTCATTTAGTGTAAATAAATAAATATTTTCCTCTGATAGAAAAAACAAATCTCACAAAATACTCAAACAAAACTCCAGTAGGGCAACGAAATTGTTCTATATACAGTAAATATGTGTGAGTAAATGTAGCCAATGTCAACCGCTGACTCGTAAATAATAATCGTAATCGTACAGACAATATACATGCTCCACTAAATTCCTGGCAAACTCCAGAAAATCCTGTTCTCTTGTAAAACCATCACATGTCATAACTTGCTCACAAGAGGAGGCACAGAGCAATAGTCATTCTTCACTTAATGTCACCCACATACACTGCTCAAATGCCAAAGAGCCAATCTTTCATGCAGATTGGTGTTTCCAAATTAGCTTTTTATCATGTTTCATGACATCTAGAAAGGTAAAAATGCAGATATTGCTTTTGTGGTTGATTGATGTGGTTTCTGTCATAGCTATCTTAAAAAAATAAATAAAAAAAGTTCACTGAACTGGGTTTTGATCAACTATGGAAGTTAAAAAATTTAAAAGTGGGGTAATTTTGGGCAAAATCACCACAAGAATTATTTTAATTAAGCATGATAAATGATAGTTTATGACAACTATGGCCCAGTTAAATATTCTTTAAACGCATCACTTGTTTTTATAAACAAAGAATATCTTGAAATAAAAGGAAATTGACAACTGATAAATATATTTCAACAAAATATAGGCTACAGTATGCAATCGAAAGCTCTGAAAATGCTAGTAAGTGGACCTTGGATTAAGACTTCTTTTATTATTATTATTATTATTATTATTATTATTGTTGTTGTTATTATTGTTATTTAAGTGACTGCTTCCAAGGTAATATTTTTGCTTAGGGTGACATTTACTGCAATTATCCATGTGGTTTATACGCCCTCTAGTGCCGGCTCAGTTTATTTGTCGCACCCTTTCAAGAACTACACTACCCAGAATTCCTTGTGACTTGAAGCAGCCTACTATTACGCCTGAAATCATTTTAATGCCAGTATCTATCTCATGAATTATATCCACAGCTCACAAACAAACATCGGCAGTCAAATATATGCAAATACGTAAAGCCCATAGTTCAACACTAAACGAGAAAAAGGTTTTCAAGCTAATTTAAATATCCATTTATTCATGGGGATATTTGTAGTCAGCTAAAATCCGCGCGTAAGGTCCTCATACTCCGGTGTCATTGGTGAATGACCGAAGATGTCTCACAGCAGGTTGTTTGCCAGGCTGCTTTGTAAGTATTTTCCTAAATTAGGCTTTTAATCTCTTAAATTGTTTGACAGTATAGCTACTGTAACAGACATACACCCATTGGCTCTGTGCTGTACATTAGCTGAGCTTCGCAGGCTCACACAGGCTTGTACTCACTAGCAAAGCTCCCCTTGGTTGCCTGGGTAGCTTTCTGGCTAGTTAGCCACATTAGCCTGCCAACCGTATTTGTTGTTATAGCTCAATGACAGTTAGCCATCGAGCTAACTAGCCTGCTTTTCGCTAACGTCCAGCTGGAATCTGGCTTTAACCCCCCTGTCAGCCTGCTCCCAGGCCAGAGCAAGTGTCAGACTTTGACCTTGTGTGTCCTCTCGACTGAATTTATCCATGTGTCCATTCAGTCTACTCCAATAGTTTTAAACGAGTAGATCATGTTTTGTTTTCACTCAGCAGTGGAACAGCTATTTTAGCTGTGAGGTCAATGTGTCTGCAGCCTGCATGCTTGCAGCTCTGAGCATTTTACAGAGCTGGCATCTACGTTTGCTGTAGGCTAAGCATTGACAAGACTACAATTGGACAACTGAACTTTGTTCAGGGACATTGATAAGTTGTCTCTGAGGCACTGACAGAAGACCAAAGTTCAGTCAGTCAGGGTGATCACTGGGGGTTTACTTTAGCCTCGTCAGGAGTTTCTGTTTTGATGTAAAACTAAAAGATTTATTTTATCTTTGAATGAAGTCAAGTCTTCTGAAACAAGTTACCGCACAGGCACTGGTTGTCAACTGTAGTTCTCCTATTTACCTTTTTATTTTGTTACTAGCAGGAAGCTTTTGTTTGATTGTGTTTTTTTTTGGACACCTTCTTTAATAAATTATATTAATTAGCTTAAGGTTTTAGACCATCTGTGTGTTAGACTAGTGCATTCAGTGGAGTGGCATTCAGTGTCTCCTTTGATTCATGGAGGTCAAGTATTGTTTAATAAGGCTGCTGGCTACTTTGTTATTATTATTTGTTAATAAAGTAGTTTGAAAATGTCAGAAAGTAGTGAGTGAAAAAATGCCACCCCTGACATTTTAAAAACTGGAGCCGGCAAATGTTTCATCTTTTTGCATAGGAAGTTTGATTCATTTTTGGTCTAATTTTTCAGCACTTAATATGTAATTTTATTTGTTAATTTTTTATGTTCAAGTCCTTAAGATGGTGATTGCAGCTTTATACAATTGTGCTGTAAATATACTTTGAACTGTGTGCTAGCTCAAGTAAAAATAGTAATTGGCCATTTTTGTGCAGTTATTGTCTCCGATTGTATGTGAAAAAGAAAACGTGCACACACATAAAACAGAATCTCTCCCTGGAAAAGTGATAAGAAGAACTGCAGCTATGATTTAATATCTATGGCCCTACTGAAGTTCAGTTGAAACTGCCCTCATGCAACCACTATTACTATGTCTGTGGTAACATATAGTGAGTTTGTGCATTGTGCAGCATGTTGCTAGTTTTAAGCTGTGTGGTTATTATTGTAACACCTCACAGTAGATGTAACGCTTAACAGAGCCTCCTCACTTGACCTGAATGTGTCTTGTTACTTACTACTGTATGTCTAATTGTGGGTTTTGGAAACAGCCGCCTGCAGCTGCTGGAAAGAGAGTTGATTAGAGCTGTGGGACAGAACTGGACCACACAGTAAACATGGGCTGAAAGAGCAAAAACACTGAGCTAAAAGATCCTAAAAATTGCAAAGCTGGGTGACAGTTCTCTCTGTGTTTGTCCTCACAACTCTGTCATTTAATTCGATTAATACAGCTTTTAAGAATGTTTAATTTCAGCTCACTGTATACAAAATGAGCGGGTTGTATACTTTTTTTTTGTTGTTTTTTTTAAACTGATATCATTATCATACTCACAGTTTGGTCAAATATACTACAACACTTCCACAGTCCGTTTAATTGGAAATAATTTGTACTCCATTGTTACATTTCCTTAAGTACTTGCCATTACAACTGCTCCATAGCATTAGCCATCATCTTTAATTAAAGATATTTATAGTATCTCATATCTTAGAAAGCTAAGAACGTTTGTGGTCACAGGCGCAGAAAACGTCAGCTGTCAAGTCTGAATATGTTTAAATT